TCTTTCTCCAATATTATCTTAACGAGGAGGAAGAATAGGTCTATACGCTGAGGAAATTGACCCTATGGGATAACCGACCTGTTCAGCCCATCCTGCATGGTTCTCCCCAGATGATAAGTACTTGAGACACCGAATCACCATGAAGAAACACTTCAAGGTGCTCATGATCCAGCAGCCACATCTGGTCCTCTGAGGACCCCCTCATATTTCATGTCTCATCTGCCACCTGCTGCCCCTACAGGGCTTTCCATAATTAAGTTCTGCAGTCTGTGAGCTGTGCAGGCCTGTTTCCTGCCCCTTTTTCTTTCTGGAGTCCAGCCTCAACCATGTGTGAGGGAATCATGCTAGCATCTCTTTTAAAGGGAGTGTTTGAATACAGTGTTAATCACTGTCAGGTTATTAAAGATAAAATTACTTGGGGGGAAAAAACAAGCCCAAGGATGTTGAAGCTTTGTTTTTCATACTGTGGTCACATTCTCATAAGGGACCAGTCTAGAGAATGACATTGTTGTTAGGTATGGTTTACTTGGAACAGACTGATAGGTGACCCTGCAGCAGGTTTTCAGAGGCAGTAAAACGCACAGGAGGAGACTATCCATCTTTCTCCCTTAACGCAGCTGCTGGATTCAAACTGCGTGCCTTTGGATTGACAGCACAGGTCTTTACCAGTCATAAAACAGAGTCAAAGAAGAGGAAGAAGACCTTGTAGACGATAACTGAGGCAGTGGGTACGACAATGGGCTCAAACATAGCAAAGGTTGTGGGGATGGTCCAGGACCAGACAGTGCTGGGTTTTGTTGTACATGAGTTTGCTGTGACTAGGAACTGACTCAGTATCACACTATCCTTGAGAAGAATGGGAATCCCAGAACACTAAATTGTGCTCATGTGAAACCTATACTTGGACCAGAAGGGAGTTGTCAAAATAGATCAAGGAAACACTGCATGGTTCAAAATCAGAAAGGGAATGCATCAAGGATGTAGCCTGTTTCCATACCCTTTCAATCTATGTGCAGAACAGATAATTTGGGTGGCTGGTCTTTATGAAGATGAATGTGACATCAAGATTGGAAGAAGATTTATTTAACAACTTGTGTTATGCAGGTGACACACCCCAACTCACTGAAACTGAGGAGGACCTGCAACATCTGCTGCTGAAGGTCAAGGACTGCAGTCTTTAATATGAATTGAAGTTCAATAGATTAAGAAAACAAAGATTCTCACCAGTGGGCCAAATGCAGCATCATGATAGATGGAGAAGAGATTAATCCTGTCAATAATTTCAACTTGCTTGGGTCCACAGTCAACACTCTTGGCACCAGCAGTCAAGAAGTCAGTAAACTAATTGCATTGGGGAGGGCTGTCAGGGGTCTTTCCAGAGTGCTAAAGAGCAATGATGCCATGATGGTTGCCCATGGTGGACAGGGTTTGGTAGAGCTCCCAGATTAAGACAGACTTGGAAGCAGCATTGGCATCCACTTCTTCAAATAACAGGCCTTTGAAAACCCAGCAAACCCTAGAAAAACGACAATAGTTAAGAACAGGGTTCCAATCTTTTGCTCATAGGATCACTATGAGTCTTACTCAACTTGAAGGCACATAACCACAACCACAACAAATAACAAAGAGCAATGATGTCAGTCTAGAGACAAAGGTGCACCTTTGTATTTGCAATTACTTGCTATGTATCAGAGAGCTGGACAGTGGCTAAGGATGACAGAAGAAGAATTGATGCCTTTGAATTGTGGTACTGAAGAAGCGTATTGAACATACACCATGACTGCCAAGGGAACAAAGAGGTCTTTTCTGGAGAGGGTGATACCAGCTTGCTCTCTGGGTGCAAGGGTTTTGAAGCTCTGTCTCATTCACTTTGGTCATGTTACCAGTGAGGGATTAATCCTTGGAAAAGGGTGGAGGGATAACACAGGAGAAGACGACCCTGATTGACATGGACTGACACAGTGACTGGGTAATAGAGACAAGTGTACCAGAGACAGATTGGCTTAGGATAGAACAGAGTTCAGAACGATTGTGCATAGGGTTGCTTTGAGTTGTAGGTGACTTGATGGCACATAACTACAATAACATCACACCAATCTTGCTTCTTTTTAATAACACTACTTTCTAAAAATGTGCTCTGCATAAGTAATTATAGCACACTCTCTTGGTTACATGAATGCACTACTAATTGGAAGGTCAGTGATTTGAATCCACCAAATGCCCTGAGGGCTCACTATTTCTGTAAAGATTTACAGCCTCAAAAGCCTGGTGGCGGGTCACTATGAATCACAGTCAATAGCAGTGGATTTAAGTTAATTTTGCTTATTATGGACTTAGTTTTACATACATTGTATATTCTCAGTCTTCTAAAACCCCCCAAACCAAACAAGCTCATATTTTCAGATTTACTAATAGCCAAGTAGTACAAAGATGCCAGTTTTTCTTGTTTAATCAAAGTGCATATTAGATTTAGAAGTCCCTTTTCTGTCCACTATACAGATAGACAGAAAACTTCTTCCAGATAAACACCAAGCATTTGAATCTGTGTTCTGTAATGTCTAGTTTTGTTTTGTCATTTGATATTCTTTGTGACTTAAAACATTTTCACAGGAGGTAATTTTTTTCTTTTCCATCATGACATGATATAATAAAATAGTGTCATATTGAAGTGAAATTAATTTTTCATAGGTTTTTATGGCTGAAATTTTCACTGTTGGAAACACTAGTAAAGTGGTCACCATGGTGAATTTACACTTTAAACATTAAGGTTTCCAGGCAATTTGGAATGAACAAGGAACAAACGAGATTTTTAATAAGAATAGGGGAGGAAAAGCATGAATAGAGTTCCAAATTTCAGTTTGAAAGACATACCAAGAAGAAGCCTCTGGTATAAAATGGTTTCATGCGGTCTGATGTTTTTCCTGAACCTTTAAAGTAGCTCCTGTGATGCTGCACACAGCCTGCTATGTAGGAGGAACGTGTTTGAACAATACTGCCTTTGAGTTTGTATTTGGTAAATACACAGAATTAAGTTTCCTCAATGAACTCTTTTCAATAGTTTCTAATTGCTATCTCCTGTCTTGCCTGTGGCTTTCTAGAAATAACATTTAATCCTGCCTGGAGAGGCTAAGCAAAAATGTTTGCATTATAATCTTTTGGAAAGACAGTGAAGAACTTTTTGATTTCCTGTTCCTGTTACTGTAGATGAGATTTCTTGACATTGATATGCCTTTCTTCATATAACTGGGAAGAACTTTAAATTCACTGTTAGATTTTTGGTTTTTAAAAAGACAATAGCAGCTCATAAACTGGTGGTTGAAATCTCTTGCCTTGCAGGCCTAACATCTTGCTTCGGAATCTCACACTTCTTGTGTTTACCTTTTTTCATTAGGTTTCAAGATTATGAAATTTCTAGGCAAGAGTTTTATTTGTTTTGTTTGAGCTTGTTTTGTTCATCCTCAAATAATAAAATATATAACTATAAACAGAAAACTATGATGTCCGTTAATATATATTAAAATTCTATATAGTTGGAAAAGATAAAAATTGAAATAAGTCACATGATCAAGTATAAAAAAGGGGCTTTGTCGGTAGTACTATATTACAATATTACAGTATTACAGTGTTAACTGGTGTAGTACTATTGGTATGATAGGTGGCCTATAAATAGTAGTTTTCAATAGCAACCATAATATGGCTTTATATGTAGAAAATGAATGTATGAATTCAGAGTAATAACCATTTCCTATCTTTATTTTCTTATATATTAGTTCATTATTGTTTAATAGTTTCAGTAAAAGTTTGTTACTGCTTCTTTACTCTGTCCCTAGAGAAAAGTAGTATATTTTGTATTTCTTGAGTCTGTGGAAACTTCTTTTATCACATTTTAATCACATTTCTGTCTTGAAAAGAAATAAACTAGAGAAGATTGTTCTGCTAGTTTTGAAGACATCTAATTAAATATAATACAAAATCTGAATACTAAAATGTCACAGAGCTGAGCTACCTACTAACACCTAACCTATCACTTTATATTAAATAAGTATGTCAATCGTTTAAAAAATTAGAAGCGAGAAATAATCTTAATTGTAAATGAATAATTTTCCTATTCTGTGTCTAATCTTCTCAATTTTTCTGAATACTTGATAATCTGAAAGTTTGATATTTTGATTCTTTATTGCTGTCTTAACTCAACCTGACTCTCCTATTTTGCAGTGTCACTCTTTTAACTATAGATCTAAAGAGAAAGTGTAAGCATCTGATCATTTGTAATAAACTGACCCTGTGTATTTTTTTTTACCATTTTTTGTTGTTTGAAACATTCAGTTTAAGTCCTTGTGAAAGGACTCCTAAATTCATGTGTTTCAGTCTGCAGTAGTTGACTTAACTAGGAGGATGGGGAGAGTTATATTTTGGAGAGATGCTAAATTAAAATGTTAGCAAAGTAATAGAAATATTGAGGGAAGATGTATGAATAAGGGTCTCTTTTAGGATGAAATCATATCATTGTCTAGTCTCCTAAAGAGATTAAAATTTTGACTGTAGTATTTTGTAAGAAATGCTTAGTTGGAAAATCAATAATGAGAACAGTTTGACATCCATTTATCTTTTAATATTTTGTTAGTGACTGTGTAGATAGACTGACAACTGAGCCCTTTCTCTGACACATTTTAGTGTTCTTGAATAATAGGTTGCTAGTATTAGTTGTAGAAAGTTCTTAAATAATTTCTTATGTCATCTGTTTAGTGTATGGACTAACTAGTGTTAGTAAAGTTTAGTGTCATTAAAGTTGTATGTATGTGTAAATACTTAGATTCACAGATATATGGTCTAGTTATAAAATATAATTGATTCACCAGTTTCTAGAATTTTAGCAATAAGAATTGTTTGTATGAATGTATGTGTGCATATGTGTGTAGATATACACGTTTATACACATACAGTCTGCTGTACTTACCACATGTGATGAATGTGTTCAATTTCTCTCTCTTCTTTTCTAGAGTCACTTGCCTTGGCTCCATAGCTCCCACCCGGGATTAGAGAAGATCAGTGCGATCGTGTGGGAAGGCAACGACTGTAAGAAAGCAGACATGTCTGTACTTGAAATCAGTGGGATGATAATGAACAGAGTGAGTTTTAAAGGTTTATTCCAGATGTAAGACTTGGCATTTATCAGCATACTAAATAATTACCTGAATGTAATATTTTTAACTTTCTTAAGTACTTCAAAATAAAAAAATATTAGATATAATTGCCTACGTACGTCTTTTAAACAGTAATTTGTCACCAAATCATTGCTGCCTTTTAGTATTTCTATTCCTCTAAGAAGATCTGATGTAAAATTTTACTGTTTTGTATTTTTTCTTTCTTCTGCTCACAGTGGGAGAAATTGAGGAAATATGAGATATAAACAAGTGTTGCTGCATACTTAACGGTCTTTATTGTTTTAACAGGTTAATTAGATTTTAGTACCTAGGACACAAAGGGAAAAAAATGTTAGAATATGTGTATGCATACTTTTCTATTAAAATTATATAGATTTTAGCTAGCTGTAAAACTCTCAAGCAATTTGAGGAAGAACAAATACAAATGCATTTTAGTATCTATTACATGGTTTCTTTTCTCAGGCTGTTACTCTTGAAATTTTAGTTCTCTGGACATTTAGGTATCATCTAATTTGCTATTTTAAATTTCATAGATATTCATAGTAGGAATGTTGTTCAGACTTCATGTAGAACAAGAATGAAAATAAATGTGTCAAGAAATTAATGTGCTTCCTAGGACATATCTCAGTGCGAGCAATTAGGCTAATTAGGCCTTTCTGGAGATTTGAATCTACTTGGTAGGTCTATAATTTCCTACCTGTGAACAGATCACTTAGAGTAGACTCATTTGCCTAATTTACAATGTGATTCTTCAAAGTTATATTACACATCTCTATGCAAATGATTTTAATCCTTAAACCTTACTAGTATATCTGCGGTGGCTTAGTGGTAAGGAATTGTGCTACCAACCCAAAAGCACGAGGTTTGAATCCACCAGTTCCTCTGCAGGAAAAAGATGGTCAGTCTCCTCCCATGCAGTTTACTGGCTCTGAAAATCACTTGAGGGTCAGGCATCAGCTCTGAATGATATACAACAACAATAAGTGTATATGCTAGGAGGCTTTGGTGACCTAGTGGTAAAGAGCTGTGCTGTTAACCCCAAGGCACACAGTTCGAATCCACCAGCTTCTACACAGGAGGAAGATGGTCAGTCTCCTCCAGTGCACATTACTACCTCTAAAACTCTGCTGGAGGGTCAGCTATGAGTAGGTTCTAACTTGATGTTATATAACAACAATGACAAAAGTGTATGTGCTGATTAGTTAATACAGAATTTACATTGGGTACATAGTATAGCGGACTCTCATTTCCCATTATTTCATTTCAGATTTTCTTTACCATCCTCCCCTTTGTCTTTTTTCTTCCTTCCTTATTTAATTTGTTCCCTGACTAATGCATTATGTATTCGAAAATGATTTTAGAAATTAATGAGAGATAATATATGCAACTCTTAAATGAAACAAAAATCATAAATTATTGTTGTGTTAAGAGTTTATTGTTCAAACTGGCTTCCCTATCCATTAACTTACTTTGCTATATGGATGGGCAGGAATATGCAAATAGGATATATAAATCTATCCAAAAGGGGAGTGGCTGGTCTCACCATAAAATTGAGCAGATCCAGCAGCAGAACTGGAAAAACCTGACGACCAGAAAAGCAGCATCAGGATAATACAGCTTATCCTTCAGGACCAGAGATTCTTGCACCAGCCAGGCTAGATCCTATGGGAACAACAACCCTAGCAGCCACAGCCGAGAACCTGACATAACGCTGAGTGGATGTTGAGACTGTTATGCCATGAAACTGGGGCTAAGAGCCTTTTGCCCAAGTTTGTTGGAGGACTGGGGAGGGAGAAGCCATAAATGGCAGAACTAAGAGCTTTTTAGCACTGGCTTAATGCTGTATAGTTCTATGTGGTCCGTAAATTATCGTATCAGATTTTGGACCCAGGAAAGCAGTGATTGGTGTTGGGATGAGTAGAAAGAGGTGGGATATGTGTGACCTCATGAGAATTGGTTTTGTATTGTTGATGGGAAAAGTTCCTTCTTGTGAAGTTGGTAATGGTGCAGTATGGCCATCCCTGTGCAGCCTCTTTTTACATAATATAATTAGGTATTTTACCTAATACTGCAATATTTGTGAATGTTTTCAATTTTTTAAATCATGGAGTGCATAGAGTCTTTTCATTTTTCAAGATGTGGGCAGAACATATAACCAGTCCTTTAATCTTTTTTTTAAAAAAATTTTTATTACTTTTTTTTTTAATGTCTTTACCGTCAAATCAGATCTGACTGGTACAGGAGGAAATTGTCCCTCCTTCTTCAGCAGAGCATCTGGTGCTGGTGGATTTGAACCTCACATCTCTGGTATTGCAGTGCTGCTTCTTGACACTAGGCCACCAGAGCTCGCCTCCTTTTAATCTTTTTAATGAATTAGCAATCAGATAATAAATTGCTTTTTAGAATTGAAGAAAGGAAGACTTAACCTAGTACATGCTATAAACTTTTAAACAAGTAAATTTAAATTTCATTACTCATGTATTAGATATATTTGAACAAAGTTATTTCACATAATTGTGAAGTAGTGCTCAGTAACCGTTCATTTGCAGTAGATAAAATGTGGATGAATTTTCTTTTCTTCTCTTTTCTCTTTTGTAAAGGTCAACAGCCATATCCCAGGAATAGGATATCAGATTTTTGGGAATGCAATCTCTCTAATCCTGGGCCTAACTCCATTTGTTTTCCGGCTCTCCCAAGCTACAGACTTGGAACAACTCACAACACATTCTGCTTCCGAACTTTACGTGATTGCATTTGGTTCCAAAGAAGATGTCATCGTTCTTTCTATGGTCGTGATCAGTTTTGTGGTTCGTGTGTCTCTTGTTTGGATCTTCTTTTTTTTGCTCTGTGTAGCAGAAAGAACTTACAAACAGGTGAGTACAGTAATATACTGAGTAGGGAATATTTTGTCATTTTTATAATTTTCAAAGTATTCATGAAGCATTTAAAGATTTAAATTATTCAACCTATGACTTGTTTTCCAGTCATGTGCTTGTTAACCAGATGTTACCATAGCAATCCTTATTTTGTAGATTTTTATTTCTTTGTGATAAACTACTTGGAAGTTATTCATCATTTTAATCTTTTTTAGCGATTACTTTTTGCAAAACTCTTTGGACATTTAACATCTGCAAGGAGAGCTCGAAAATCTGAAGTTCCTCATTTCCGGTTGAAGAAAGTACAGAATATAAAAATGTGGCTATCTCTCCGTTCCTATCTTAAGGTAGAATAACAGTGATAAAAGTATTTCTATGTACCAGCTCCATCTGATAGTTCCCTTTTGTCAATATTTATGGTAGTTTTTTCTTAATTACACATCCAGAAATCCAAAATAAATGCTTAACAGGTACTTGACAATAAAGTAGTTGAAGTCTGGAAAATTTACCTGTGTCTTAAGTAGATGACTCACATTGTTCAAAATGTATCTGTGTTCAGAAATCTCATTAAAAACTGGATTCACAGAGCAAGTAACCTCTTTCAGTTAAAGCAGTTCTTACATATATAAGACTGATCTAAGAAAAGGGAGGAGATGATAGGGTGGTATTGACAAACTCAGGATTATTTGAAACAAAACAAAAAAGGCCGAGATCAAGTCTTTTTAGTCCTCACAAACCAGCAGAGGGCGCCCACTGCTTTAAATAATTTTGTAATCTGTACATCTGTAGCCAATGGCCATTTACTATTTTAAATATTTTTTTCATACCTTTCTTTTCTTTTAATCTAATTATAGTTATAAAATATAAAAACCTGGTCAGGTGGAGGTGGTTAGGAAAGCAAAATAATTTTTCGAAAGCATTTTCCCCTCACAGGATCAATTAATTATTGCATTAGGTAGCATTGGATTTCACTGTATGTGAAAATTCATATGATACTTATTCAGAACATTGTCTAGGCCTTTATCCAAAGTTGGCCCAAAGACTGAGTATCTTCTGACACACCTAGATATTTAATTCTTTATATTTTAAAGGCACATATTTTTTAAAAAGGTAGACTGTCTACCCTTATATTCTGAAAAATCATTTCCTTTCAACTTTTTGAAAAAAATTTTCTTTCATATTAGTTTGCGTATGCAGTTCATCTGCATTGTGTTTCACACTATTCCTCATTCACATTGTATTTCATACACTCAATCCCATTATGTTTTATAAAGTGAATCACCATTGGACTATGCCCATCATTACCCTTTCTTTTCAGATCCCTATAAGATCTTTCTTATTTCCTTGCCCCTTCCATCCACCCACTAAATTAACTTAATGTTAAATTCAGTTCACTAAGTATCCATTGGAAAATGCTAAAATTTTATGTAGTAGTTTTGTTTTGTTTTCCACTGTGACATTTTTGTTGTGTGGCGGGATGAATTTTTTTTTTTGTTACTTGGGGAAATTATACCCCAAATTTTCCCTCTTTATCCCCTTAGTCCTGAATTCTTTTATACATTATTTTATTGTAACTATATTTTAATGTTAACAAGCATTCATTGTTGTTGAGGTAAGAAGTGACAGTCCTTTCTAGAAGCTTACACATCAGTCAGAAAAACATGGAAGTTTCAGTCCTATTCTCTTTGAATCCGTTTGTTTCTCCTTGTTTCCGTTTCCAACATGAAGATCATCAACCATCTTCTTGCATGGGTTACTATATAGTTTTCAAGTATTCATAGTTTTCCTTCCAATAAGTTCTTCAGTCTGCTACCAGAATGATGTTCTTTTAAAGGTAGATTTGTTCATAAAATTTTAAAAACTATAGAAAGTTTGGGAAAAAAACATGAGAAGTTCCTAGGATAGAGAGATAAAGGGCAGAATCTTCACAGGGCTTATATCACTCTGTGATTTAAGCTTTTTTTCTTATATTCTTTTCTCTAGGCCATTTGGAAGTATTTTCTCCATGCCACAGTAGATTGCTTCAGTTTATAGTATATTCCTTCCTGCTCTGTGTTCCTACACATGCTCTTCTCTCAGCCTGGGATATTGTCATGTGTGGGGTTCCTTCCCCCCCATTCCCCCGCTTATTGCAAACATCACTTTCCCAGGGAGATTTTTCTGAACCCCAAATCTTAGTTAGGTCTCTCTGGAAAGTTATCTCAAAGGATCCTATATCCTGCATCTTTCCTTCCTAGCACTCATCATAATTTATCACATAAATCTACTATGTTATTATTGTTAAGTGCCATCAAGTTGTAGATGACTCAGTGACCCTATGAACAAAAGACCTGAACACTTGTATGACTTTCATCCTTTCTCCACGTTCATAGGATTTCCAGAGGCAAGCTATTTCAGAAGTGGCTGCCACTCCTGCATCCAAGCTTGTTTTAATTGGGGAGTGCCGCCAAACACTGTCCACCATGGGTAACCATTATCACATTTGACACATCAGTGTCACAGTGTTCAGTGTCACAGCAACCACAAGTTACCTCTGTACAGCAAGTGGACAGACTAGTGCTATACCGCTTAGAAGAATGTTTGACCAAAAACAATTAAAACCTTCCTGAGGGCCATAGATTAAAATCACCCACCTCTGGCTTGGTAGCATGACTTCCTATCTACTAGGCCAACTGAGCTTCATGTCTTTCTGCTTTACTAATTCTTGTGAGGATAGAAAAGATCCTTTTTAGTTCTCTCCTGTATTTCTAGCATTTAACACAGTGCCTGGTTTTGAGCCAGTACTCATGCCATGTTTGTGAAATAAATGAGGAATATTTGAAAATATGTAATAGAGAATTGAAATAAAGCTAAGAGTACTATGATGTTTAGATAACAATTTCCCCTATACTACAAACTTTTAGAAAATATTGATACTTTATAATTAAAAATCACCTGACAAATTAGGTCTGTTTTCAACTTGGAAGGTATTATCAATTCTCAGTGAAAATTAGTAAGTATATTTTAAAATGTTTCTCCTTTTTTTCAGCGGCGAGGTCCTCAGCGATCAGTTGATGTAATAGTTTCATCTGCTTTCTTGTTGACTATCTCAGTTGTATTTATCTGTTGTGCCCAGGTGAGTTGTTACATGTAGAAATAATACAATCAAATATATAAATACCAAGCTTCAGAAAACTTTCTAATAGTTAATCAGACAATAATGTAAATTAGCTGGTTTTGAAATTACTCTTTGTAGTTTATCTTTTTCAGCGGATTAAATCATCTTATTCATCTCAGTGCATGAACAGTGTCTGGCCTATAGTCAATTGTCTATTGAATGAACATACAGTAATTCTTTTTGTCTACAGTTTATTTAGTTTTGTCTTTCTTTTTGAGTGTCTAGAATTTATGCTTTCAGTTTTCTGTTGGTCTCTGATGTGTAGTAGGTGACTACTACTCTAACTACTCTTTAACTTCATATCTCTGAATTGTTCCTATGCCTGGAATCCACATGCCATGAAAGAGCTCTCAGGAATCAAGATTGATCAGGAAGCACAGAAGTATTGTAGGATTTATAAAACGCTGTAAGAAACAGCACAAACTTCCATTTCAATAGTAAGGCATTCTAGACAACATGAAAATTCTTCTGCTTTAAAAATGTCAAGTAATTGAGGAATATATAGTCTAAAGAATACAAGAACTTTTTCTAAAAATTGCCCATCTACTATGTAAGCCACAAACTAAGTTCAACTAATGATAGGTTTCTGGTATACACAGACTATCTGATGTAGCTGTAATTCAAGGCAATAAACAATGACAATAACAATAAAAGTCATACAATTATGATTTTTAAAGCACGAATTTTCAAAAGGAATTAATTTTGAACTGTAATACTGACATAATTGAAAACATTTTAAAGACTACTAATATGAATTACTTTATGCCATTTAAGTTGAAAGTTTAAGTGAACAATTTTGCATACATACATAATTTCTTAAAACTGAGATAAAAAGAAATAAAAATCTGGGACTTGTACTCACACTAAAGTATTTGTTTCAGTAGTAAAAAAAATATGCCACCAATTAAAAATTCTCCAGATACTGTGATTTTGCAGGTGAATTTTGCCAAGTGCTCAAATGAACAGGTACTCTTAGGCAGAAGATACAGGGCATAGAGAGAATATTTCCCAGGTCATTTTATGAGGCTAATATAATCTTCATACTGGTATCAGAATAACAGCATGAAAATGAAAAACTGAGAAAATTTCACATAGATGTAAAATTTCTCAACAGAGTATTAGGCAGTGAAGGTAACGATGTAATATAATACACTATGACCAAAATAACTTAGCCCTAAAATACAGAATGTTTTTGAAGTAAATTTTATTTTGATGAAAATATACATAGTAAAAGCTGGTCCTGTTTCTACAATCTCTAGATGTCAATTGATAGCACTGATTATGTTCCCTACATTGTGCCAGTTCTCATTACTTCTGTTCTAGCTTTACTCATTAGTTTTAAACTCTCTGTCCTCTAATCCTCTTATCTATGCTTTAAAGTAGCCTTTGGCCTTTTTTTGGTCTTGTATAGAAAAAGAATTTTTAAAGGCACAAAATTTAAGAGTGTCTTTAATTTTTAAACTAAACTGTTACTTAGTTTAAAGGTGACTCCAGGGAACAATTTCAGTTCAGGGTTTAAAGAGTAACTCAGGACCAAATCGGGGACAGACTCCTTTAGCCTCCATGCATTCAATAACTATGGATTCATGAAGAATTTGGACTCCTGTTTGAGTGACGACAGAGATTAATCTACTTTCACCTTAAGTGGCTTAAGAGGGAGAAAGTGGTCATCTCAATAGATGGAGAAAACAAATTGTTAAAATTCAGAAATAACTCATAAGGAATAAAAAAGGATGCTCTCAGTCTAATAAAAGTTTTCTTTCAAAATTGATACAAACATTGACCATACGGTGTTAACGTAGGATTATTTAATACCAGTAATAAGACAAAGATACCACTTCTAGTCGACATTTGGGATATTAGCCAGTTAAGTAAGACAGGAAGCAGAAATAAAGTATGGAAAGATGGAAAGTTTATAAAAAACATACAGGTAGCTCTGGGACATCGTCCATTGGTTGTTGAGCACCCAACCCAATACTGTGCTTTTCTGGTGGTTTGAAAATCCATCAAGGCTATGAGGGAGGAAGAGCTACAGTCTCCTCTTGTGAGATTTACCACCTCAGAAACCTAATGGAAGCTCAGCTATAACCACTCCACAACAATGAATTTGTTTATGTGTATGTGGTAGTGATGGTGGTATTTTATAACATCAAGTCGCCTGAGACTCATAACAACTCTATGTACAATAGCTCTGAAGCCTGTCTGATCCTGAGTCAGTCTCACTGACTCTGACACACTTACCCCCAGTGCCCAGTTACTTAGATCAGTCCATCTCATCTGGGGTCGTCCTCTCCTGTGCTGTCCCACCATCCTTCTAAGCATTATGTCCTTCTTCAAGGACTGGTCCCTCTTGGCCATATGCCCAGACTATGTGAGTATATATGTGTATCTATAACTTTATCTAATGTGCTGTTGAGTAGAAACCGACTCAAAGTTGACCCCCCAGCAAGTTTCCAGAGGCAGTAAATCAGATGAGAGAAGATGGCCCATCTGTCTCACATGGAGAAGCTGGAGGATTTAAACTGTCTGCCTTTCGGTTGACAACGTAACTCCTTGCTTTACCACCAGAGTGGCTGTGTGTGTCTGACGTATTTCATTGTTATATGCCCTCTAGTTGGAATTCAGTCATAGCTGACCCTCCAGTGGATTTTGTTGTTGTTGTGGTGGTGGTAGTTATAACGTGGTGTCAGAACTGACCCAAAACTGACCCTCTGGTGGGTTTTCAGAGGCGGTAAATTGCATAAGAAGTGATTGCTCATCTTTCTTCTCCAGGGCAACTGGTGGATTCAAGCCACATGCCTTTGAGTTGACAGCGTAATTCATACCCCGTTTGTATCATAGCTCCCAGGAAATATATATGTTTAAAACACCTGCATGAAATTTTCAAATTATGAAAATTTGACTTCAGTAAGGTTGCTGGATACAAGGTCAACTTTTAAAAAGCCAACTTTGTTCCTAAGCTAGAGATCAGCAAACTTTTTCTGTCAAAGGTTACATATTAAATACATTAGACTTTGTGTGCCACATACTGTTTCTTTTAACAATCTCTTTTAAAAAGGTATAAGTCATTCTTTGCTCCAGGGCTAAGCAAAAGTAGGTCCCAGGCCAAATTTGGTCTATAGACCAAAATTTGCTAGTTCTTGCCAGACACGGGGAAGAACCACTGCTTAGTGTCCCTTTCAAGAAAAATAACTCTTACAAAATTGTGTAGGACTTTATTAGAAATATGAAAGTTCTGAAATAAATTATATGAATGGACAGGCATAATCAACCTCCCATTAGTTCTTTCAGGTTTTGTCATTTTGTCAATTCAGTGTGATTCTAACACATTGGTAAAGCTTGCAAGTGTTCTGATACTCATTTGGAAGCATAGAGGGCCAAGCACAACTCAAATAAGTTAAAAAACAAGTTGCTTCACCCAAAATACAAAGACTTATTTTAAAATTACAGAAGGACACTCTGTAATTTCACCATAACAATAGAGAAATCAGTGGTATGAAATACAATCCTACAGATACATGTATAAACCCACAGCTGTCCTTTCTTTTAAACTCAACTCTATAGAACAGAACAGCCCCATAGAGTTTCCAAGGCTGTAAATTTTTCCAAAAGTAGATAAGTACATTTCTGTACAGAGATAGGCTTGTCTTTTCATAGTGCCAGCTTTTCTATTAGAGATTGGGTGCTTAAACCACCAATCCACCAAGCCTCCTAAAATAAGCTTCAGTTAGACTAAATGTGAAAGCCAACATTTTTAATATTATTACAAGAGAAAATTAATAATCTTGTATACTACAGAGGGCACACAGAAGAAAAACTAGAGACTGAGAAAATACTGGCAAAACATGGGACTTCATTAGGATATTGTTTAAAATTATAAACATCAATAAGAAAAAGTCAAAGACTCAGTTATTGTTTTCTGCCATCTAGTTAAGCACGACTCATAGCGGCCCTTTGAACAAAGAAGCCTTTCTATAACTATCGTCATTTCTCAAAATTCCTAGACTTTCCAGAGGCATGTTGCTTAGGAAGTGGATGCCGCTCTTGCTTCCAAACTCACAACATAGAATAGTTTATAATAATAATGGTGCAACCACTGTAGAATGCAGTGTGATACTTTCTCAAAAAATTGCAAATAGAGATACCATTTGACCCAGCAATTCCACTACTGGGAATATACCCCAAAGAGACCATAACTGACACCCAAGCAGATATATGCACAC